GGTGTGGTTGACTCTTAACCTTTATAAAGAATATCTCTTTGGATTTGAGACTTCAGTCTTTGCAGCTTTACAGATCTTCTTTATGCACCAAGAGCTTATAACACTTCAAAGAGAAAGGAAAAATTTAAATCGCATCATATGACCCCTTTAAGAAGAAATTAGTTTTAATACATTTTTAATTGAAATCATTTTAATTACATTTTTTTTTTTTTTTTACTTTTATTCAGCATGGATACAATACCTTCCTATTCATCACAGAATAATAATAAATCTTTTTTGAGCATCAAATCAGCATATTAGAATGATTTCTGAAGGACCATGTGACACTGAAGACTTGAGTAATGATGCTGAAAATTCAGCTTTGCCATTATAGGAATAAATTGCATTTTCAAATATATTAAAATAAACCGTTATTTTAAATAGTAATAATATTGTACAGTCTTAATATTTTACTGTATTTTTAACCAATAAATGCCACCTTGTTAAGCATAAGAAACTTCTTTCAAAAACAATAAAAAATCCTACCAAGAGCTTTGAACGGTAGCCTGTTTGCCTTTGTCTTTACACAACCATATATAAATATTATTTTGTATGATAATAAACAGCATAATACTACATTTAATAATTAGAATATAGTGCTAAATATTCTTTGAAATCATCCTGCATTGTGTTTTTGGCTCTTTGCTAAAGCATTCTTTCATGTGCTTTTCTGATCATATGTGTGATGGTGTACGTGTATGTGGGCTGCAGCCATATGTGTCTGGCAGTGTGTGAGACGAGCATGAGTCATGATGTGAGAGATGAAGGCAGATCGGGATAGAGCTGGAATACCAAAGAGAATGAAGAATGTGTTTGATGAACAGTGTTGTTTGTTTGTGCAGACATGCGAATCCGCGTTCGCTACTAAAGACCGGTTACGAGCTCATATGATCAGGCACGAGGACAAGGTTCCCTGCCACATCTGTGGCAAACTTCTCTCTCCTGCTTACATCACCGATCACATGAGGGTGCACAACCAATCACAGCATCACGTCTGTCACCTCTGCAACCGCAGTGAGTATCATTGATCATTTCCTTTGGGGTTTGAAAAGCGTAGCTATTCCTTTAATATTCTAATACCCTTTTTTTTAAATGTCTTTATTAAAACACTTGAGAATATGAATGAATTGTAAATGTGCATGTTTATACACTACTATTTAAACATTTGAGGTTGAATAAAAGTAATGTTTTTGAAAGAAGTCTCTTGTGCTCACTAAGGCTGCATTTATTTGATCAGTTTAACAGTAAGAATGGTAATATTGTGAAATATTATTACAATTTAAAATGACTAAATATAAATTCAATGACTGCTTTGACAAATTTAGCAAATAATAATTTGTTGGAATTCTTTTGATCAAACTGATTATTTTAGTGAGTCTCTTTAAATGACTAAAGAAAAATGAGAATTGGATTAGTCTGATTGTGCTGTATGTTTTTGCATGCAGCCAGTGACATCTCAGAAAAGACATGTTGACTATTCATTTTCTTTGCATTATTTCAGGCTTTTTACGTTTTGTTAATAAATCATTTAATATATGTGACCCTGGAGCACAAAACCAGTCTTAAAGGGGTCATATGATGCGATTTCAAGTTTTCCTTTCTCTTTGGAGTGTTACAAGCTGATTGTGCAAAGACTAAAGTCTCAAAACCAAAGAGATATTCTTTATCAAAGTTAAGACTCTGCCACACCCCCCTAAAACGGCTCGTTCTAACATGCCCCCACATATCTATGTCACTATGTGGAAATATTAGCATAATGCCGCCCAAATGTGCACGCAAAGAAAGAAGGCGTGGTTTCAGTAACCACAGTTAGTGTTGAAGCAGCCATGTCAGGGAGACGCTGTGTGTTTCTAGGCGAAAGCAAAAGCACTTTATTTGGCCTTCCGGAAGTAGATGCATTTAGGAATCTTTAAGATTACTTACAACAGAACAGCAATGCATTTTATGGACGACCGTTTCATGAACCTAGGAGAGGAGGTCATTCTGACTTTGCTATGACAATCTGGCTCTTCTATATCAGCTACTGTTTTGTTATTAGTTTAAGTGTTTGCTATTGACTGTTCAAATGCAGAGTTTTGAGCATTGTGTGTGTGTGTGTGCGCGCGCGCATTTTATGGACGACCGTTTCGTGAACCTAGGAGAGGAGGTCATTCTGACTTTGCTATGACAATCTGGCGCTTCTGAATCAGCTACTGTTTTGTTATTAGATTAAGTATTTGCTATTCACTGTTCAAATGCAGAGTTTTGAGCATTGTGTGTGTGTGTGCGCGCGCGCGCGAGAGAGAGAGAGAGAGAGAGAGAGAGAGAGAGAGAGAGAGAGAGAGAGAGAGTGAGTTATGTGTACTATTTGTAAGCAGTCCAGCTGCAATTGCTTTGGCAATACAAATGTATAATTTTTGTCATGCCAATAAAGCACTCTTAAATTGAAATTGAATTGAGAGAGAGAGTGAGGGGCATTACATTTCCGACAAGTGCTTGCGGTGTTCGGCCAATCACAATGCACTGGGTCAGCTGGCCAATCAGAGCAGACTGCGCTTGTCGGAAGGAGGGACTTTGTAGAAAACTAAGCGTTTGAGAGAGGCGGGGCATAGAGGACCTACAATAATGTACAGTATTTGAAAAAGAATGTGTTTTTTGAACATTAAAGCATGTCAACATATTCTGTTACACCAAATACACAAAATAATGATCTTTAAAAAAGGATCATATGACCCCTTTAAGTCGCTAGGGTATATTTGTAGCAGTAGTCAAAAATACATTATATGGGTCAAAATTATAGATTTTTCTTTTATGCCAAAAATCATTAGGATATTAAGTAAAGATCATGTTCCATGAAGATATTTTGTAAATTTCCTACTGTAAATATATTAAACCTTAATTTTTGATTAGTAATATGCATTGCTAAGAACTTCATTTGGACAACTTTAAAAGCGATTTTCTCAATATTTAGATTTTTTGCACCCTCAGATTCCAGATTTTCAAATAGCTGTATCTGCCAAATATCGTACTAGCAAACCATAAATCAATGGAAAGCTTATTTATTCAGCTTTCAGATAATGTATAAATCTCAATTTCGAAAAATTGACCTTTATGACTGGTTTTGTGGTCCAGGGTCACATATGATATCTTCAACCATGGCTCTTTAGACTGAGCACCATCAATGAATAAAGGTGAAAGAAATATTGCTATGAATTACCTTAATTCCATTTACAAACAAATTATTCTAATGAGCTGATTCTTTTTTTTTAGTGAATCAAAAACATACTGTGCAACCACTGTAGTTCCAAATTACTTTTAAAAAATAATTTTAAAAGACTCAATACTCCATCATGGGATTTTAAACAAAGTTCACCTGTAAATTTTGGGACCTGGTGTTAAGTTTTAAATTGACCACGTTATAAGTTTCCAAGTAATTTACAGCACTAAGAAAGTGACAAGAGAAAACAATTACAATTTTCATAAAAATCATACTTTTTCCTCATAGGTTTCACCACACTGACATACCTGCGTGTCCATGCCCAGAAGCATCATGGGCAAGAGTGGAAGGAGAGTGGGGTCGGTCGTGGCTCAGGCTCAGGTGGGGTGCTGTTATGCCATTTGTGTGGGGTACACTGTAAGACACCCACACAGCTTCAGGGTCACATGGCCACACACGCCAACCAGACGGACCCCAGCGTTTCTTGCCCCATCAGCAGCAGCACTAGTTCAGTGGCGACAGTGGGCATAGCCACTCCTGTTTCCAGCCCTCCAGTCACAGTTGGCCTGCTGGTGACTGACTGCTCCAGCATTGCTCCTCAGAGCCACAGCTAGCCAACAGCACACCATGAGGAGGGAGGGCGGCATGGAAGAATCGGGGGTTAATGGGTGGGATGGTAGAAAAATCTAAGAGGATGGGCCCAACCTGGGCAGGTGAGCAAAGAAGCAGGACGATATATTGGATATTCACAACATATTTATGATGATTTTGCTGCCACAGAATTGAATGTCACTGAATTTTAATGCCATTTTCATTTGGCCATCAACTGGCTTAATTTCATTTCTGTAAATTTCTTCAGTTGCTTGGAGTTTAAGTTGCTGTTTTTGAAAGAATTCTCTTATGTTAACTAAGATGCATTTATTTGAACAAAAATACAGTAAAAACAGTAATATTGTGAAATATTACTACAATTAAAAATACTTTTTTATTTTAATATACTTTAAAATGTAATTTATTCTTATGATTATTATCAATGTTGAAAAGAGTTGTGCTGCTTAATATTTTTGTGGAATCCGTGATACATTATTTATTTCAGGAGTCTTTGGTGATTTGAAAGTTCAAAAGAACTGCATTTATTTGGAATAGAAATCTTTTGTAACATTATTAATGTCTTTACTGTCACTTTTGATTAATTTAATGCGTCCTTGCAGAATAAAAGTATTCATTCCTTTCAGGAAAAAATAAATAAATGGTAGAGCACCTTAAAATGTTTTAAGAAAGAATATATTGAAATATGTGGTATAGGTAAATATTACTGCTCGATCTGTGTTTTATTTTACTGTTTCATTTAAATGAAAATTAAAAAATATATATATCTTTTTTTGTATCTTTCATTGAGAAACATGCTCTTGATTTCTTAACAGTATTTCACTTTTTGCGTTCACTATTCTAAATCTACTTGATAACAATGTTCATGGTTTAAAAAAAACACCTTTTAAACAAATATGTAAAACATGTTAAAGGAACACTCCACTATTTTTGAAAATAGGCTCATTTTACAACTCCCCTAGAGTTAAACAGTTGAGTTTTACCGTTTTCAAATTCATTCAGCCGATCTCCAGGTCTGGCGGTAGCACTTTTAGCGTAGCTTAGCATAGATCATTGAATCTGATTAGACCGTTAGCATCTCGCTCAAAAATGACCAAAGAGTTTCTATATTTTTCCTATTTAAAACTTGACTCTTCTGTAGTTACATGTAGTACTAAGACCGATGTAATAATTGAGAAACTTTGCTGCCGTACCATGGGTGCAACAGGCGCAATGATATTACGCAGCGCCTGAAAATAGGCTTATTGGAAGTTACCTAGCTGGGACTATTTTCAGGCGCTGCGTAATATCATTGCGCCTGCTGCACCCATGGTACGGCAGCAAAGTTTCTCGATTATTACGCCAGAATGAGAGTATAGTTCCTAGCCATATCAGCCTAGAAAAACTTTTCATTTTCCGTCGGTCTTAGTACACGATGTAAAAGGAAAAATATCGAAACTCTTTGGTCATTTTTGAGCAAGATGCTAACGGTCTAATCAGATTCAATGATCTATGCTAAGCTACAGCTAAAAGTGCTACCACCAGACCCGGAGATCGGCTGAATGGATTCGAAAACTTCGTAAAACTCAACGGTTTAACTCTAGGGGAGTTGGAAAATGAGCCTATTTTTAAAAATAGTGGAGTGTTCCTTTAAGCCACTGCAGAGCAAATACATAAATGTTCAGATATTTATTTATTGGTCTTTTTATCAACATTACCCAGTCCTATTATTAAGTAATAATATCTTTTTGTAATAGTATTGTCCATCTTCTAGATGCAATTTGTTTATTAATGGGTGTGTATGCAAAATAACATTACCAAACCAAACAATGTTTTCTCACTCCAGGCTGCCATGGAAATGCCAACACAAAGATTACCATGGAAACCTACCCGTTAACCCACCCCTCTCATCCACCTCAAATCTTGCCGGGACTGAGCAAGAACTGAATGACTCTCCTCAAAATAAGTGTGACTTTTGAATGAACTCAAGAAATATCACCCTGTTTCACACTCGCATATTTTCTGTGAAGGCAGAGCAGTAAGTCTCACTGGATTCCTTTTCCCTCGTACGCTTTGATCTGGTCTGATGGATACAGACTGAAAGGGTTTAGAAGAAGAGTCTAGGAAGGTCTGATGGACGACTGGTTTGGGTGTCAGTACATTTCCTCGCAGAGTCCCATGGGAGAGATCACTGGTTTTAAATGTAGGCTGTTATTAAGTGCTGTCCCAGTTCATTATTTAAAAAAAATCCAGTGTTGAGGAATGTAGAACACTAAGAGGAATTGACACATTATGCCTCCCGACGGGACTGAGCAAGAACTGAATGACTCTCCTCAAAATAAGTGTGACTTTTGAATGAACTCAAGAAATATCACCCTGTTTCACACTCGCATATTTTCTGTGAAGGCAGAGCAGTAAGTCTCACTGGATTCCTTTTCCCTCGTACGCTTTGATCTGGTCTGATGGATACAGACTGAAAGGGTTTAGAAGAAGAGTCTAGGAAGGTCTGATGGACGACTGGTTTGGGTGTCAGTACATTTCCTCGCAGAGTCCCATGGGAGAGATCACTGGTTTTAAATGTAGGCTGTTATTAAGTGCTGTCCCAGTTCATTATTTTAAAAAAATGTAGATCACTGAGAGGAATTGACACATTATGCCTCCCGACCTTTCCTTATAAAATAATGGCTCATATCTACATGATCTTGAAGTCCAGAAGAGATGCATTTTATAAATGAATTTACTCTGTTGTAAGAGATCAATCCATCATAAATGATCTTGACATAAATGACGCCTCCACAGAACATGAACATTTGAGGGGATGAAATGTAGTGCCATTTCCACTCATTCCCTGCAAAGGATTGTAAAAGGGTTTAAACATGGTCACAAGGACAAAATATTTATATTTGTAATGTATGTAGTATACATAAGTTCTAAAAAAGCATCTACTGTTCAATGCCTCCTTTGATATTTTTCTCATTGATCTTGATCTTTTTTTTTTAACTAAAGACGTTAAAACAGATGTAATAATGTTGACTATGTTGCATAAGATCTGTAACCTATGTTTCCAGTTCTGTTTGCTGTGTTGATGCTTGTTTAACGCCAATATGTGTTGGTGTCGCTTTGCTCTTATCCTAAATAATCTCTGTATTATGAACATGCACCTTGCTTTAATGGGATATCATGTGTATGTGAAATTACCTGGTGCTTTTCTGCAATTGATACACACAGTTGCTATAGTGTTAGAAATTGAAAAGTGATTCTTTTGAAAGAGAATGGGATGACACTTTTCTGTGAATATAGTACATAATGGTGTAACATTACATATTTCACAAATCCTACATTTTTTTTAATTAAAATAAATATTTAAAAAAGTTTTTTTTTTTTATCTAAGTGTATTTAACTATTAAATGTGTTACATACAAAACGATATGACATTAACATAGCATGTTTAAAACGCATCAAATGCCTGTCCCACTTCAGAGGTCTTGACCTTTTAGACTAGCAGTATCATAGGTCATATTTCTGATACATAGCTTCGGTTTTTAGTTTTATGGTGGTTTGTTGGCATGACAAATATTTTTACAATTGCAGCATTGTTGTGAAAAACAATGAAATACAATAAAGCCTAAGCTTTTGCCTAATTGGTGGAGATATTAATAAATATGATATATAAAATAATATTTATATAATATATATTATATCATTTATATAATATAGTAATATTTATATAATCACTTTCATGGACTTTTACCTTAACTGTTCCCTGCTAGCGGAATGACCTGCCCAACTCGATCCGAGCAGCTCTTTAGCCATCTTCAAGAAACAGCTGAAGACATGTCTCACCTGTACGGTTGCCGAGAAGTGCAAAGCAAATCACAATTCTGAAAACAAAATTACAAACGCAAATACAAGTCTAAAAAACAAAATAACAATTCAGAAAGAACAACAACAATTCAGAAAACATTATAAGTCAGAAACCATAATGACAAATTCGAAAACAAAATAACAAATCAGAAAACACAACGACAAATCCGAAAACAAATTAACGAGTCAGAAAACACAACAACAAATCAGACAAACCGGAAGAGGCAGGTATAGTTTGAGACAGCGCCATTGGTTTGGGATTACTCACCGCTGACTGGACGAGACATCTGTCAATCAACGTATACAGGAAAGAACCAGACGAAGAACAGCAGAGTCATGGTAGAAAGTTCAGCGATGGTATTAAAGTAGCTCAGTTTAAATGTATTGTATGAATTGCCCTTACTATGGAATAAAAAATACGGGGTGTCTATTTACATTTAGTTAAAAGTGGCTGTAAAACATCAGCTCCAGTGGTGCAGATGGATAAGTGCGTGTCGTTGGCTTTTTGACACGATCGACCCAGGTTCAATCCCGTCTTTTGCCAAACTTTTTTTTCTTCCCTGTATACGTTGATTGACAGATGTCTTGTCCAGTCAGCGGTGAGTAATCCCAAACCAATGGCGCTGTCTCAAACTATATACCTACCTCTTCCAGTTTGTCTGATTTGTTATTTTGTTTTCGGATTTGTCATCGTGTTTTCTGACTTGTTATTTTGTTTTTGAATTTGTCATCGTGTTTTCTGACTTGTTATAATGTTTTCTGAATTGTTATTTTGTTTTTTAGACTTGCATTTGCAATTTGTTATTTTGTTTTCAGAATTGTGATTTGTTTTGCACTTCTCGGCCACCGAACACCTGCCCCTCTATCACGACCACTCGCTATTCTATTTCTATTCTAGCTACTTGTTTTCATTTTATTTTTATTTTTTTAAAACCCTTGCTATGTGTACTTGTCCCAGCACTGACATAATATTGCTCTTTTGTTGGTTTGATTGCTTCTATTCTCATTGTAAGTCGCTTTGGATAAAAGCTTCTGCTAAGACGCTGAATGTAAATGTACATATTAGGGTTTTAAGAATAAATATTAAGAAATTGCATAGAACTGTTATGCAATTTAAATTTTTTTAAATCATTTTTATACAATTATAATGAGAAATGAGACCTTATTGCACCCCCACCCCCCTTTTAACAACAAAAAAAACCTTCATTTGTAAAAGTTTCAGGTTCTGTAGTTGATTTGTACCCTATTCCTGTAAGGCACCGTGCGTGTATTATTAGCACAAGACAGTGAGCGGTTAAACCGCGTCCCTCGCATTGTTTACACCGGTGGTCCTCCCCTCCCCCACACACTCATCCCTCTCTCTTTCTTTCTTTCTTTCTTTCGTTCACTCCATCCCCCTCTTTCAACTCCTCCTTCTCCCTCACTACCGCTACTTCCAACAGCTGATTTCCAGACCCGAGAGAGAGGAACACAGCGAGAGAGCTGAGGTTTGGAATCGGCTGCAGCAGAAGGATTCACAGCGAGCAGGAATGCAGGGAGAGCGCTGCGATGCGCCAGCATCCGTCATGAAGATCTGAGCTCCGCCGCCGCTGCCATCAGCTCCGAGAGGTTAGCCGCTGTGCTAAAGCTAACTTTACAAACATCTGTAGCCATCAAACCTACATTATCGGCCTTTGTCAAGAGTTACAGCTCATGTTTCATTGTAAAAGTTTCAGGTTCTGTAGTTGATTTGTACCCTATTCCTGTAAGGCACCGTGCGTGTATTATTAGCACAAGACAGTGAGCGGTTAAACCGCGTCCCTCGCATTGTTTACACCGGTGGTCCTCCCCTCCCCCACACACTCATCCCTCTCTCTTTCTTTCTTTCTTTCTTTCTTTCGTTCACTCCATCCCCCTCTTTCAACTCCTCCTTCTCCCTCACTACCGCTACTTCCAACAGCTGATTTCCAGACCGAGAGAGAGGAACACAGCGAGACAGCTGAGGTTTGGAATCGGCTGCAGCAGAAGGATTCACAGCGAGCAGGAATGCAGGGAGAGCGCTGCGATGCGCCAGCATCCGTCATGAAGATCTGAGCTCCGCCGCCGCTGCCATCAGCTCCGAGAGGTTAGCCGCTGTGCTAAAGCTAACTTTACAAACATCTGTAGCCATCAAACCTACATTATCGGCCTTTGTCAAGAGTTACAGCTCATGTTTCATTGGCTATGTGCATTAGGTTGGATTCTATTCACTTTTTATTATTTTCGCTCTGAAATGGATCATTTGTGCATATAAACATCATATATGGGTCACGGAGCAGATTAATTAGCTAGCTAGCCGGAGGTAACAGCTGGTGAGGTCGCGTAAGCTACGTTATTATTAAGAGTTAACTGGCTTGAAATTCTATAAAACTGAACAAAAATGTAGAAGATTGAGATATATGTAGGCAGACCGCTGTGGTGTGTGGAAGGGCTTATAGCAGCTTAATATAATAGCCTTGTAACGAGTTGTCATTGCAGGGTAGCTTGGATATATATATATATATATATTATGAGGAAAGAGCAGCTTGGCGAACAAAGATGAGGAACAAGACTGATGTGAAACTTTCCAGACGTGTTGCAAGCACATGCTTTTTTTGCTGGCTGTTCTCACTGATATTCCAGATAAAGGTGCTGTCCTGACCACCCACCGAGAACATGATAAAAGTACATCAACCTTTGGCATGAATTTGGTCTAGTAATGTTTCTGAGGGAGCTGCATTGTTGTAATGCGGCTGCAGGAACTGAACATGGGCTCAACAACTTTGTATTTCCTAATATGTACCTATATGTTTAGGTTCAATACTTTATTGCTCCTTTATAGTTGTAACCTAATTCTTTTTGTACTCGTTAACTGTTGAGGAAGTCTTCACCTTAACAAATTACTGTAGTGCCATCACGACTGTTCAAACATTGTCGAAACATTTACATAGTTCCGTTTAATACATACATTTAAACGCATATTATATATAATGTCAATTAACGTTTACAGTGACCAAGAATGTTAAGCCCCCAAAATGACAAAAGCTGTTTCTAAGCTATATTCCAAGTCTTCTGAAGTCGTATGGTAACTTTGTGAGGAGCAAGCAAAAATAAAAGGCATAATTCACTGGAAACTGTGGAGCAGATTTTGAATGTCATTTTACATCCCACATATTCAGATTTGAAGTTATGACACGCATGAGAACCTACATTGCAAAGTGTCGATTGGCATTTAAATGCTATTCATGGGTTTCAATGGATGTGAAGATTTTCAGTGGATAATGCCTGTTTTATTAATTTTGTATTCCATGAAAAAATTTTTTCAGAAGTTTGGTCTCAATTTAGAAATTTTGTTTTATTAAACTACTTTTGAACTGCAGATAATCAATTTAAAGGCATAGTTCACCCAAAAATGAAAATTGTCATGATTTATTACCCTTCATGTCACTCAAGATCTGTATGACTTTTTTTTTTTTTCTAAACCGAAACTAAATAGTTTCGGTTCCCATTGACCATTGTATGGACAAAAATACTATAGAAATCAGCGCGAACTGAGCTATCTTCAAATGCTGACAGCATTGTCATTTTTGGGTGGACAATCACTTTAATGACATTTCCTCACCTGTGTTTGTTTTGATGTAGGATGGCTTTCCATGGATCCTCTCGGCCAACAGTGTGTGGTAACTTGTTCCCTGGATCAGAGTTAGGCCACAAGTATTTTTGTGTCAACACCACGACCGGGACTACCTCAACGGGCCTCAGCGCTACACCAAATCCGACCGGACCCAACGCACCTGCTGGGACTCCCAGGCACCCGGCGTCACTCGGGGGCAGCACAGGCGGAGGGGCGGCCATCCCGCATTTTTATGATTTTTTTCCCCTCATGTCACTCAAAATCTGTTTTGCTTTTTTTTTTTTTTCTAAACCGAGACTAAATAGTTTCGGTTCCCATTGACCATTGTATGGACAAAAATACTATAGAAATCAGCGCGAACTGAGCTATCTTCAAATGCTGACAGCATTGTCATTTTTGGGTGGACAATCACTTTAATGACATTTCCTCACCTGTGTTTGTTTTGATGTAGGATGGCTTTCCATGGATCCTCTCGGCCAACAGTGTGTGGTAACTTGTTCCCTGGATCAGAGTTAGGCCACAAGTATTTTTGTGTCAACACCACGACCGGGACTACCTCAACGGGCCTCAGCGCTACACCAAATCCGACCGGACCCAACGCACCTGCTGGGACTCCCAGGCACCCGGCGTCACTCGGGGGCAGCACAGGCGGAGGGGCGGCCATCCCGCAACCTCACAGTAATCCAGCAAGTGAGGTTCCAAGTCCTGCTGAAATGGAGCCTGATCGGCCTATCGGTTATGGTGCGTTTGGAGTGGTCTGGTAAGTCCTCCTGTCATCCCAGCATACTGATTCATGATGACCATCTGTCATGTAGTTACACTACCGTTTAAACGTTTGGGATCTGTACGTTTTTTAGAAGATATTTTTTTAAAGAAGTCTCTCATGCTCACCAAGGCAGCATTTATTTGATTATAAATGCGGTAAGAACAGTAATATTGTAAAATATTTATTTTCCATTTCAATACGTTTTAAAGTTTATTTAAAATTGGACTAAACCCAAAGTTTGGTCTGTTGGGTTAAATATTACACACTCTGGCTGTCCTTTTGCATTGATAGGTCTGTGACGGACCCTCGGGATGGACGTAAGGTGGCTCTGAAAAAAATGCCGAATGTCTTCCAGAACCTGGTCTCCTGCAAACGTGTGTTCAGGGAACTCCGGATGCTGTGTTTCTTTAAACATGACAATGTAAGTTTTGCAGATGGAAAAGGGAAGCACGCATGCATGCATGTATGGGTGGGTGGGCATAAAATGAAAGAATGGGTATATTGAGATGATAAGTGTGTGTGTTTTCAGAGTTTTGGAACTTGATTGCATGTTTTTTGTAATGATGGGAATTTGCTTTGGCAGGTGCTTTCTGCCCTTGACATTCTCCAACCTCCACAAATCGACTGCTTTGAGGAGATGTATCCTTCAGGCTCACATTTCACCTCAAGTTGTTCCCCTCTGATACTTTTTAACTTTATTTTTTTATTCTATTCATGCCTCAATACTAAGGGGATTTAAGGGATGTTCCACCTAAAAATCCACATTTTCTCATCATTTACTCATGCTGTCTAAGGCTACGTTCACACTAGTGCATTTTCGTTTTAAAACGCTTAACTTTTGCTACGGTTTTGCCTGTTGTTTACACTACTCTGGCATTTTCGACCCTCAAAAACGGGAGACTTTCGAAAATGCTGCAGACCCAGTTTTAGTTTGAAAACTCTGGGGTTGCGTTTCAGTGTAAATGGACCAAAACGGAGACTTTTGAAAACGAGGGTGTGGCTGCCCACATTTGCTCTGCGTATCCTTGACAACCGTGTAAACAATAACATCATGCTCATTGTTGTACCTACATGAATGGTCATGTGACATGCGTTTTTGGTTGTGTAGTGTGGACGGAGATCGTTTCTGAAACGCAGTGAAAACGAGGATCATTTTCATTTCAAAACGCTGTTTTAAAACAAAAACGCACTAGTGTAAACGGGGCCTAAGATGTATGACTGACTGACTTTGTTTTTGTTTTTTTTTAGAAAAATAATAATTTTATTTTTTTGGAAAAAATAAAATCTTTGAGTCCATATAATGCAAGTGTATGGGACCCCCAAAGATTCATAAACCACACAAGTTAACACAATGGTAATCCAAATGACCCCAGTTGATGAATCAATGGCTTCAGAGGTGGATTATCTTAGTTTGTGTTCATCTGAAGAAATTTGTTCCAAACCTGTATGAGTGTCTTTCTTCTGTTGAACACAAAAGAAGATATTTTGAGGAATGATGGTAACCAAACAGTTGCCAGTAGCCATTGACTTCCTTAGTATGGGGGGAAAACCCTATAGAAATCAATGACTACCGGCAACTGTTTGGTTACCCTCATTCGTCAGAATATCTTCTTTTGTGTTCAACAGAAGAAAGACAATCATACAGGTTTGGAACAACTTGAAGGTGAGTAAATAATAACAGATCTTTAATTTTGGGGTAAACTGTCCCTTGGAGTAGTTGGTTTGTTTCCATTATGAGTGTTTTAAAGTATATGTCATCTGATCTGGGAAAAACGTTAAACCGCAGTACAGTAGCTGTATTTGCATGTCTATAAGTATTGTGCTTTACATTATCAGTGGGAAAGTGGCAGACCAGAACATGACACAAAAATGAGAAGACAAGGGAAAATACAGTGTAAAGAGATTAGTTGATTGCAGTTTGCAGAGCAACTTAGTGTATTAATATTGAATGTATGTTTGTATGTATTGACTGTTTTGCAGTGGCTCAGAATTTAGAATGTGAATCTTTTGGAGTCTTTATAATATTAACTTTAGTATAATGTGAAGCTGTTTTTGCACTTATTAATTTGTTGTGAATGTCCTGGTTTGCATCTAAGGTCCAAAATGAAAGGTTTAGTTCACCCCAAAATGAAAATTCTGTCATTAATTACTCACCCTCATGTCGTTCCAAACCCGTAAGACCTTCGTTCATCTTCGGAACACAAATTAAGATATTTTTGATGGAATCTGAGAGCTGTCTGACCCTGCATAGACAGCAACGCAACTGAAATGTTCCCAAGTCCAGAAACGTAGCAAGGACATCGGTAAAACAGTCCATGTGACATCAGTTGCTCAACTTCAATTTTGTGAAGCTACGAGAATACTTTTTGTATGCAAAGAAAACAAAAATAACGACTTTATTCAACAATTCTTCTCCCCCGAGTTTCTGTCTTCCGCCATTTTGGAGAGTGTCACAACACATACGCACGCTTTACCATAAGCATAAACAACACTGATTATGCCGATTACGTTCATGCGCGCGCTTTACCCCTAACGTAAACAAAGCCGATTACATTCTTGGGTACTCTCCAAAATGGCAGAAGACGTAACTCGGGGGAGAAGAATTGTTAAATAAATTGTTATTTTTGTTTTCTTTGCGCACAGAGTATTCTCGTAGCTTATCCACTGATGTCACATGGACTGTTTTACCGATGTCCTTGCTACGTTTTTGACTGGGAACATTTCAGTTGCGTTGCTGTCTATGGGAGGGTCAGAGAGCTCTCAGATTCCATCAAAAATGTCTTAATTTGTGTTCCGAAGATGAACGAAGGTCTCACGGGTTTTGAATGACATGAGGGTGAATAATTAATGACAGAATTTTCATTTTGGGGTGAACTAACCTTTTAACACCTTGCCAAGTGCCAAACACAAGTGAAAATTAGCTTTGGCTAGTAAATTTGCCAATAACTGTGTAAGGAAGTGTAAAATGCAAAAATTCAAAATGCAAAATACAGATTTATGGCTAGTAAAAAATATGGCTGGTAATTTTTTCATTGGTAATTCACATGCAATTGGTGCTATAAAATTACTCTTACTCTTAACGTACTGTGAGATATACATTTTATGTTTTATTTCACCCATTACTAGTTTCCAACATGTTTTATTTTTCCTCATAGCAGATATTGTTATGGTGGCTGTAGATGTTTTGCAGGTCAGTTGTTTTCTTAACTGGGTCTGTGGTGTAGATACGTGATCACTGAGCTCATGCAGAGTGACCTACATAAAGTCATCGTTTCCCCTCAGCCTCTCACCACCGATCACATCAAGGTGTTCCTCTACCAGATACTCAGGGGTGAGTTCACATGGGCATATGTCACTTTTGGATTACATTCTTCTTTTTTTTAAATTTTGGGAATCTGGAGTATTTAATCTGGACAGATGAAAGTTTGATGTGTTATATGCGTGTGTTGCAGAATGGGATTATGTTTGACCTTGTAATCATCCTGGGAATCTTTAATCTTATGTTCTGAAAATAAACGGGGGGGGGGGGGGGGGGGGGGGGGGGTCTGGAGTATTTAATCAGGACAGATGACAGTTTAATGTGTTTTGTGCAGAATAGGATTATATTTGACTTTGTAATCGACCTGGGAAGCTTTAATCTTATGTTCTGAAAATAAAATTTATTCGCAAAATCCCACTGAACTGTTAATCTTGTTTGGGGCCATTTTCACTTTTGTTGCTGGGAGAGTCCGATGAATCCCCTAGCTGAGGCTGTATTTACAGTATGTGTATAATGAATCTAGAGTAGAGATGACAATACTAATTAATGGAATTGTACTTGTGAAATACTTTGAATACCAAAGTCCAATAGCATGCAGTGTACATAAAATGTTGTACAAACGTTGCCACACTATTAGCGGAGTACAAGAGTAAATGCAGCTGTAGATCAGATCGATGTGTGATTCCACAGGTTTGTCATATCATCTTATTGGTGCTTGTCCACTGCACAGGGTTCCCACGCTTCTTGAAAGTACTTGAATTTCAGACATATGGATTCAAGGCCTGGAAAGTACTTGAAAACAGACATAAGTGCTTGAATTAAATTTGAAATAAAGTTTGTTTATGACGCCATTTCATAAATTATCTTATATGTTCTGTCAAAGACAACGAAACGGCGGGGTGGAGATGGGGTAGCACGGAAAAAAAACTTGTGTGTTGATGCGGAGCTTAGAGCCCTGAGTGGGACAGTTTTCTTAAGTCCGCTCCCGCTAAATTTCCGCACTTATAACACGATGACATGATGGAACGTATCATTTGCACATGCTTTTGAGTCTTGAGTCTCGCGTGCTCTCATTTTCTGTGTGCCCACAGATATCGATAAGGAAAGTGACAACTTTTAAGGGAATTTGCAATTGTTATATTGATTTAATACAACAGTTCAATAAACAAGTACTGCCTGATTTTGCATTATTTCATCAACGGAAATAGTTCCAAATAAAGTAACAGCTCAGCCGCTGCACATCTCTAAAAGCAAACACAGCGGTGTTTCATTCATGAATGAAAGTGCGTTTTTGAACGAATCTAGTGAGTCAGTGATTCATGATTGCCCATTCATAAAGACTTGTTTCATTCCTGAATGAATCAGCCGATCAAACGAATCAATTGAATGAATGATTCAGTGATAAAATCAGTGACTTGCCACCACCTGCTGGCGGTTTCAGTTTCATTTTTAGGTATAATTTTAGTTATTTAAATCATTTAATATTTCTGTATTCAAAATTTAAGTAAATTAACATTAATCTCCACATGAATTTATGAATTTAATTGCACTCATGCCACCTTTGAGCCCCATTAAACATCTGAAAATGTACCTTCAAGCCACTTTTGTGTTCTTCTGTGCACCCTCTGTAGTACAAATACATTTTTATTAATACTAATTTCATATGATTGGTAACTTATTTGTCTCATTCTAATTCATATTATATTGTTTTAAATCGAAATTTTAAAAAGCTTATAAACATAAATTTTTTAATTTGACAGATGAAAATGATGCCATTGCAAAGGTAAAAAGAAAATACCCCTGTAAATCAAAACAATGCACAACAGCTGCAAATTCAGTAAAAATGCCTTTCATTTCTGTAGCAGTACATTTCACAGTACTGGTAAAGATTTATGACTTTCATTGATGTGCAATTTTTACTGTTTTCGTGCTGCTTTTAAAGAAATAACATATGCTTGATTCCCAGCAATAGTACAATGATCATAGTCGCAGATGCTCTACTGTAATGTAGTACGTCAGGAAGGACATAATAGCCCCTATGATGAATCATGTGTTGAGATAGATGCCTGAAATATTTTCAAAAAATATTGACGCTTTGAGCAGCTGCATTCCTCTAAATCAAAGATGAAAAAATGGGATTTACAATAAAAAGTAATTTACAAATTTTTTTTGACTTGAGTTTATTTATTAATGAGTAGCGTCTCTTTTGAGTGAATGTGCAAATGTTTAATGTTAAGAGGTTTTACCATGTTATTACAACATTTAACCACTTTTTATTCATTTAAAAATTGAGAAATTCTTTCAAATTTAAATCTTAATAAAATTTTATCTTTCAAATAAAACCAGTTAGATGCATATTTTATCAATATTTTAGAAACTGTATTTGAATATTACCAGTACTGACTAAAATGGATTTCATTAAATTCCTTTGAACACAAATGCTCAAAACAGTCTAAATTTATGAAACCTTCACATTCAAAACATTACTCTGAAATTTTTAATGTAAATGTTAAGTGTAAGTGAAATGTTAAGTACTGTAATGTCTTTCATGACACTACATATGCTGGGGTGTGAATTTGATAGGTGCTTGATATAAAATAAATGGTGCTTTAAAAAGTCCTTGAATCTGGTGTTCATGAAAGTGTGGGAACCCTGACTGCGGTCATTTTATTGTTTTTATTATTATTTTAGGTAAGACTTTATTTTATACACTAGCATTCAGAAGTTTGGGTTTGGTAAGATGTTTTTGAAAAAAGTCTATTATGCTCATCCAAGCTGCATTTCTTTGATCAAGAATACAGTAAAACAGTAATAATGTGAAATATTACTGCTATTTAAATGTGTTTTATGTATTAATATATTTGAATAATTTCTGTGGTAGCTGAATTTTCAGCAGTTATTACTAATTTCTCCAGTGTCACATGATCCTTCAGAAATCATTCTAATATACTGATTTGGAACTTGGAAGAAACATTTCTAATTAATTATTTTAATAATAATTTATAATATAATTATATTTTTGTGAAAACTTGGATACCTTTTTTAGGATTATGTGATGAATATAAAGTTAAAAATAGCAGCATGTATTTGAAATGGAAGTTCCCTTTCAGTCGGTCACTTCAAAGTTGTGTCGAAGTTCCGACAGTAGGGGTTGCTTTTGGGAGCCCAGACACCTCTGACATCATTGAGAAAAGGCCAATGAAATTTCTTTAAGTAAATTATCTAAAAGAATTGGCCCTTCTACTTCCAAGTATGAGGCCACAGCAATGTGCGTCGGGGAAGTGCATGGTGAGGCGAGAGTAGTTTCGCCGGGTGAATCCCCGCGGACCTCTTGTCCTTCTTACGCTTCGTGTCCTCCGGTTGAGCTTCCAGATGAGTTTGAGAGCTTGTCTCAGGGCGAGTTCAATTTCTCATTTGAGGCTCATGAAGAGAATGAGCTGTTGATCGCAGGATCAGAGGCCAGCCTAGACCCATCAGTAGCTGATGACTCGACTGAACTGGTGCCCTCAGGTGCCGAGTTTCAGTCTGAGGCAGACGCTGAGATAGTGGCCATGCTTGCCCTGCAGCCAAGAGCATCATGCTCGAGTGGACTCCTCCACCCTGTCCTGAGCACTCTCGGCTGGATGATTTTTTTTGGGGTACTGAGCGTGACACTAAACCGTACCCAGCCCCAGTTCCTTTCTTCCTGGAAGTGCAGAAGGAACTGACAAAATTGTGGAAGGCCCCCTTTTCGGCCAGGATACGATATACCAGCTCCTCCGTCCTCACAACTATTGACTGGGGTCCAGCGAGTCGTTATACGGAGGTCCCCCAGGTGGAGAAGAGCGATTGTGGTGCACCTTTGCCCGCAAAATGCTGTCACTGGGCGGGTCCGTCCGAGACTCCCGTACAGGGCCTTTAAGTTTTCTTCATCCCTTGTGGTGAAGGCTTATGCGGCCTCTGGACAAGGTGCATCCGCCCTGCATGCCATGGCCATCCTGCAGGTCTATCAAGGCATTGAAATAACTGCACAAGGGTGGTCCCAACCTAGAGGTTTTGCAGGAACTGTGCTCAGCAACCGATTATGCCCTCAAGGCTACGAAGGTCACGGCGCAGGCTCTGGGGAGGGCGATAGCTGTGCTAGTGGTTCAGGAGTGCCACCTGTGGCTCAGGCTGGCAGAGATGCGAGATGCTGAGAAAGTGCACTTTCTTGATGCCCCCTTTTCCCAGGTTGGCCTCTTTGGTGACACCTTTGAAGAATTTGCCCAGCTATTCTCCACAGTTAAGAAACAAATGCCAATAGACACATCCTGCCTCAGCGTGGGTCAGGTTCTGTTCTTGCACCTCTGAAGCAGCAGCCTCCATCTGTTTGTCGCCTGGGATGGTCCGCTCCCGTTGCATGTCACAACTCGTCCGCCATCTCTTGTTATCTGATCTGTGATATCCATCTTCCAAGAGGGCCTGGACAAGCACCTGTCTGCTTCTACACTCAAGGTGTATGTGACTGCTATTGCAGAAAACCACGAGACTGTAGATAGCAGATCGGTGGGGAAGCACGATCTGGTTATCAGGTTCCTAAGAGGCGCCCGGAGGCTGAATTCTCCAAGGCCACACCTCATCCCCTCTTAGGATCTCTCAGTGGACCTTCAGGCCTTACAGAGAGATCCATTTCAGCCCTTGAGACAGTTGGACTTGGTGCCTTCTCTATGAAGACAGCCTTCACTGCATTCACTTCTATCAAGAGGGTGGGGGATCTTCAAGACCTCTTCATTGACAAATCATGCCTGGAATTTGGGCTGGCAGATTCTTACATTGTCCTGAGACCCCGTCCTGGATATGTGCCCAAGTCTCCCACCACTTCTTTTAGAGATAAGGTGGTAACCTTGCAAGCTATCCCCCCACAGAAGGGGGACCCTGACCTGTCTCTGTTGTGTCCGGTGTGAGCCCTGTGCATCTATTTGGAACACACACAAGAGTTTCAGGCTGTCTGAACAGCTCTTTATCTACTTTGGAGGTCAGCAGAAGGGGAATGCTGTTTTCAAACAAAGGATTTCCCACTGGATTGTGAATGTGATCCGTACAGCTTATCAGGCCAGAGGCTTACCATGCCTACTGGGAGTGAGGGCGCACTCGACCAGGGGCGTTGCTGCTTCATCAGCTTTAGCAAATGGTGCCTCACTAGTGGACATTTGTAGAGCTGCAGGTTGGGCTACACCTAATACATTTGCCAGATTCTAAGACCTGCGTATGAAACCAGTCTCATCCAGAGTTTGAGCACTAGCTCTTGAATTCAGGTGGCTGGTAGGGTGTAGAGCTTGCATGTCGTGGCCCCATATGTATATTACTATTTGCCATGTCACGTCAGGATTCAGTGTTTCCCCCAGACTGACAGTAAATCTGCCGCTTGTTTCTGTGTTTGGTAGCTCTTCCCTTATGTGGGGGCCACCACAGAAATCTTCCCTATGTAGTACTTCTTTTCAGTAAGTCTATAGGTTGGTCTCCACATGTCACCTCCCCTTCGGGTAGGATGTGGTCTCCATAGTGTCTTTTCCCTACCTGGGAAACAGACACCTTCCCATTGTTAACAACCAGGACTTTTCAACCGTTACTTGTCCCTACCTTCTTAGAATGAGAAAAGGTTCCGGCTGAGGTGACCTGCCTTATGGTGTCTCTCCTGGGTATTGGAGAGTGAGGTCATAAGGTCTTGGGTGTTGGATGGTTACAAGGAGGAGAGGTGCATTTGGTTGTGACACACTGGGCTTGTCAACCTCTGTGCCCCCATGCACTCACAATGCAGTTCAGCACCTGTGGCGTTTAGTATAGGGACCCCTAGTGTTAGAACTTTAACAAAATGTCGAAGTGACCAACTGAAAGGGAATGTCTCTGTTACGTATGGTAACCCTTGTTCCCTGATGGAGGGAATGGAGACGTTGTGTCCTTTTTGCCACAACTCTGAACTGCCTCTGAGTGGGTTGAGATGCTTCTCGACGACTCAGAACAGAACAAGTGAGCAAATGCCACGCTGGCCTATATATACCCGGATGTCTGGGGCGTGGCCAGCTATGCAAATCTTTCTCGCCAATTTCATTTTCCTTTTTTCAATGATGTCAGAGGTGTCTGGGCTCCCAAGAGCAACCCCTAGGGAGCTTCTCAATATCCCTCCTTGTTGCCTCGCTCCTCTGTCCTCCATCCTATGACCTGGAAACCTATCGAGCTCAGCCATCTTGTAGGACATCTCAATTTTCTAATTGCACTGCGAGGAGGCAAGGAGGTGCAACTAAGAGGAGGCTTCCTGAGGAGTCATGAGCGTGGATACACGGGTGTATCCTTTGAGGAAGTGTTTTATCGACTAAACGTGATGCATGTATAAATTCTCCTCCCCCTTCACATCTGCACCAAGTGCTAACCATAGCAGAAAATACAAACACACATAAATGTGAGTATTAAGCATGAAGTTATTGTAAATGTGGGTTTTGTTTTGACAGTGTCTTTAATTTCGATTGTTTATTTACGTCTCTTGATTTTAATGGCGTATTGCTTTTAATTTTTAAATTAATGCCTCTTATATTGGTTAATAGAGAATAGAGAATTACTTTCATGTAGGACATTTGCAGAATTATATCAAAGCACAAGAAAATGAAAGAAAATGAAACAAACTGTAATACTATACAACAAATAAAAACCGTTAATAACTGGGAATAATTCATTGTTAATAATAACTGGTAATATATATAAAAAATACGGACAAATGTGGTATTTTGTGGAGGTCGAAACTATTACAATATAAATAATTATTTCTAATGTTCAAGAATGCCGACGTGCAAGCTAAATCCAGCGGTGTAGAGTCATCATTAATTGACGACGCTTTGAAGTGATGCTAAAGGGAGCAAGGATATGTAATTTCACTTGATTCAATTCCTCTATCCTCGCGTCTTTTCCTTGCGTCCTTCCCACGCATCCTGAAGGGGTGGAGCTAAAACGCGAGGAAAGGAAGTGAGGAAAGGAAACGAGGATGCACAAATAAGAATTGAGAAGCACCCCTAGTGTCGGAACTTACACACAATGTCTCCATTCCCTCCATCAGGGAACGAGGGTTACCATACGTAACGAGACGTTTTTTTTTTGTATCATTAAAATTGTATTTACTGTCACTTTTGATCAATTTAATGTGTCATAGTTGAGTAAAACTATTAATTTCTTTCAGAAATGTAAAATCTCACTGACCCCAAACTTTTGAATGGTAGTGTGTGTGTGTGTGTGTATGTGTATGTGTATATATATATGTATGTGTAAATTTGGCACGCACGCATCCGTTAATATTGATGCGCAAACAAACCGTGTGCATGCACTGAACACTATACTACCAGTCGTCAAAAGTCATCCTGCGAATGTTATAATAATTGATGCTGGCAAAAGAAGAGTGTTTTACAGTAAGGGTCGTGGTTTAGCGTTTCTGAAAGGATCCATATTGTAGCATATGCAATTGAGGCGAGGCAGCAGGTTTAGTGGTCTTTAGCCATCTCCCTGTGGTCCTGTTCAGTATCGCAGTTTGACTTGTGCTTATTTGTATTAAAATGCTCTAAACAAATGTTTTTATATATATTTATTTATTTATTTCAATTTGGCTAGAAAAACAGTACATTTATTATGAAAAAGAACCAGATCTGTTAGATATATTACCTTTTGTTTTGTGTTCCTCCCTTCCAATTTCATCCATACCATGAACTAGTGGAGGCAAAGCACCTCTAACAACACGGGTGTTGGTATTAGCAAGTGCAGGAAGTATTAGTTTCCTAATCAAGAAAGTTGGTGTTTTGTTGTGTGATTTGTTTGTATTGTTCTTTCTGTCAATGTCCTTAATGAGATTATCCCTCTCTCTTTCTCCCAGGGCTGAAGTACCTGCATTCTGCAGGCATTCTGCACAGAGACATCAAACCAGGGAACCTGCTGGTCAACAGCAACTGTCTGCTTAAGGTACAATACCGCACATGTATACATCAAATGTACTCAATCTAATAATAAAGTGGGCAATGGAACTATCAAATATGGCAAATTGAGAAATGTCACTTTTCTTTCTCATCTAGATTTGTGACTTTGGCCTGGCGCGAGTGGAGGAACCGGATCCTTCTCGTCACATGACCCAGGAGGTAGTGACGCAGTATTACCGTGCTCCGGAGGTTCTGATGGGATGCCACCATTACACTTCGTCGATAGATGTCTGGTCTGTAGGCTGCATCTTCGCAGAGTTGCTTGGCAGACGTATTCTTTTCCAGGCTCAGAGCCCCATACAACAGGTAATGATGTGCACTACCGTTCAAAAGTTTGGGGACAGTAACATCTTTGAAATAAATTAATAGTTGTATTCATGCATTAAATTGACCAGAATTGACAGACTTTTTCTAATTTTATTTTTTTTAACCTTTCTGTTTATTAAAGAATCCTGGGAAATATTATCACCCTTTACTGGATAAAAAAAACATTTAATAATAATGATAATAATAATAATGTTTCTTAAGCAGCAAATCAGCATATTAGAATGATTTCTGAAGGATCATGTGACACTGAAGACTAGAGTAATGACTGCTGAAAATCCAGCTTTGCCATCACAGGAATAAACTACATTTCAAAACATATTCAAATTGAAAACAATGATTTTAAATTGTAAATAACAGTATTACTGTTTTTTTATTTATTTATTTTTATAATGCAGCTTTAATGAGCATAAGAAACATAAGTTAAAATTGAGCATAAAAAACATTAATAAAGTCATACCGACCGGATCTTTTTTGTTTTAATATACACTCTAATCTTGCAGAAAATTAGGTCCTTTTAATTAATTTGATTTTGAGAAATAGTGAATTGAAGTGTCTTATTTCTCACTCTGTTTCTCCTCCTCTCTTTTTCTCTCAGTTGGATCTGATCACTGATCTCCTCGGGACTCCTCCTCTTACTGCCATGGCATCCGCGTGTGAAGGAGCTCGAGCGCATATTCTTAGAGGACCCCACAAACCAGTTCAGTACCCTCCTTTACTATGATTTATTACTCCATAAAGATGTAATGCACAAATCTGTCCTCAAATCAAACAGAATATTTTAACTTTTATTTGTGCTTTCTCTCTCTTAGCCCTCGCTTTCTGTTCTGTACATGTTGTCAGATGGGGCAACACATGAAGCTGTTCATCTTTTGTGCCGCATGCTAGTTTTTGATCCAGTGAGTATGACATTTCTAGATCACAATGATAACTTCCTAGATTTTGGTTAAATACTTTTGTGGTTATTTATTAATGGCCTATACCTAATAGTTCATTTGAGGCCATATACACACTTCTGAGTGTCTGTATTTCATAACATTTATATTTGAAGCACATTCTTCCATAAATGGTTGAATCTCCCGAAACTAGTAGAAAATACAATGGCAAAAATATTCTGAACGTCTTACTCAAATGTTAAAATAAATATATGTAATTGGAATGTTTGTAGTATGGTTCATATGATTTTGTATGAGTAATGAGAATTGTAGTAAATCATCATTGACAGAATAAGTGTTTTATATTTTAATACATTTTAAAATTGAATTGATTCCTGTGATGCAAAGCTGAATTTTCCGCATCATTACTCCAGTCTTCAGTGTCACATGATCCTTTCAGAATTTATTTAGATATGCTGATTTGATGCTAAAGTAACATTCTTATTATCACTGTTGAAAATAGTTTTAATAGTGCTTAATATTTTTATGGAAACTGATACGAATAAGTGTTTTATATTTTAATACATTTTAAAATTGAATTGATTCCTGTGATGCAAAGCTGAATTTTCCGCATCATTACTCCAGTCTTCAGTGTCACATGATTCTTTCAGAATTTATTTAGATATGCTGATTTGATGCTAAAGTAACATTCTTATTATCACTGTTGAAAATAGTTTTAATAGTGCTTAATATTTTTATGGAAACTGATAAATTTTTCGCGATTCTTCAATATAAGTTCAAAAGAACAACATTTATGTGAAAATAGAAATCTGTTCTAACAATTTAAGTGTCTTAACTGTCACTTTTGGTCAATTGAATGTGTCCATGCTGAATGAAAGTATTCATTTCTTTAAAAAAAATTATAATAAAGAAACCTTGTTGACCTTATACGTTCGTACGGTAGTGTATTGTTTTTTTGTTTGTTTAAGATAGTTAGATTTGTGTTACTATTATTGTTATTATGGAGAGAAAATGACTGAAGTTAATACATTTTTCGCGATTCTTCAATATAAGTTCAAAAGAACAACATTTATGTGAAAATAGAAATCTGTTCTAACAATTTAAGTGTCTTAACTGTCACTTTTGGTCAATTGAATGTGTCCATGCTGAATGAAAGTATTCATTTCTTTAAAAAAAATTATAATAAAGAAACCTTGTTGACCTTATACGTTCGTACGGTAGTGTATTGTTTTTTTGTTTGTTTAAGATAGTTAGATTTGTGTTACTATTATTGTTATTATGGAGAGAAAATGACTGAAGTTATTATTATTATTATTCCTCAGGTAATTGTCTCTGTGTGTCTCCATCTATAGGCCAAGCGCATCTCGGGCAGTGACGCTCTGTCTCATCCGTACTTGGATGAGGGTCGTCTGCGGTACCACACCTGCATGTGTAAGTGCTGCTACTCTGTGCCCAGCGGGAGGGTGTACACCCGAGACTTTGAGCCGCCTGCGGATCGACCTTTCAGTCACAACTATGAGCAGAGCATGCACTCCGTCTGGCAGGGCAAAGGTGACTCACTCTGGCCCTTTGTTACGATTCAATCTTGATCATCTTTTGACATGAAGGACCCATGATGACCTGTTTTCTCTCTTTATCTCAGAGCTCATCCATCGTTTTATAACAGAGCACCAGCAAGGCAAACGAGTGCCTTTGTGCATCAATCCCCAGAGTGCAGCCTTCAAAACCTTCATTAGGTGAGTATAAGATAAAAATATTATTACAGTGTTGTTTTTAAATGCTGAGTGTTGATACTGATGTGGTGTGGTTTCTATAAACCTTTTTGTATAGCCATTTATATTTATGTATAAATCTACATTATAATATATAATAATATGTGTGTATATCCTATCCTGTCAGTGATTACTTATTCAGCAAACATCCATTCTTATTACAATATTTCTTTTGCCATCTTGTTAAGCCATTCTTTTTCTTTATTTCTGTATCAGATCCACAGCCTGGCATTCTTCAAAAGTATCAAGGAAAGAAGAGAGATGAGGTGGATTCTGGGAAATGTGGATCATAGGAGCAACCATGCATTGGAGATGAAGATGGTTCTTGATGGATCACATGCTTTTGAACGAATTCTCAGCACTCATTCCAATTCCACACGGGGAGTTCTCAGAAAAACTTTTTTTTTTTCTCCCAGTTCCGCTTACACAAGTCTGATGAATAATGCTTCTGATGCTGCTGAGAACACGTTTATACTGACTGTGCTTGAGGATTACGGGAAATAGAATTTCCCACAGAAAAAAAAAAAAAGAAAAAGAAAATCTCATGGATTGTTGAATTTTGACTAAATGTGCCAACGTCAAAAGTTGTGCAATACAGATATCTGGAATAATGCAAATGACAAGACTGCGCTGACCATGATTTCACTAACGGATGAGATGACAGTGCCCACAAGTCCATAGCATCGCCCGTGCAGACATCTTTACTCAGAGAGTATCTCCAAACTCTGTCCATAGACTTTTATCACTGTGTTCTTTTTGCGGGTTCTTAGGTTTTATTCTTAAACTTCTGATAACCAAAAGTTCTTAAGTCTTCTTTCTTTGTTACTGCTTCCTCATTCAGTTGAATGTTTTCTGTTCGATATCACTCAGATTTTCTATTAATTTTTTTCTTTACTGTTGTTATTATTTTGTTTTTTGTTTTTTTTTTGGGGGGGGGGGGGGGGTTATTGTGCGGTTTCTTTTGTAACCTATCAACATTATGAAGCATCCTGTGCAAACGTCATCCTTGAGCAAATGCATTAGAGTTTTAGAGTTGTATCAGAACGCTGTATAGAGGTGACGGTGTTTTGTGTTTTCATCCGACAGATGTACGTACTTGTTTATCTGTGGAACGTATACTGCTCCATCCCCACCTGAAGCATCTTCCCAAAGGTCCCGCCCTCCTCCTAGGACCAAACGAGATTGCTATCAATATCCTGCTCTCTGATTGGGCGAGGCTCTGTAGGCAGAGAAGATAAATTGATTATTATTTATTTTCTCTTTTTAATTTATTGTTGTCTTGTCCAACTTGTTTGTGTTTGGCGGACCAGTTGCGTGGGTTTCATGGTGGAATGAGCGAGCTGTCTGGTCCGTTTTTTGAAAAACTGTGTTTCGGAGAGTTTAGGGAATGTGTAGTGTTGTACTTATTTTATTTTAGAAGATAAATTGATTATTATTTATTTTCTCTTTTTAATTTATTGTTGTCTTGTCCAACTTGTTTGGTGTTTGTGTTTGGCGGACCAGTTGCGTGGGTTTCATGGTGGAATGAGCGAGCTGTCTGGTCCGTTTTTTGAAAAACTGTGTTTCGGAGAGTTTAGGGAATGTGTAGTGTTGTACTTATTTTATTTTTTTTTTTCCAATATTTCATTACCTCAACTGGCTCTCAGTTTACTGGGCTGGTGTATATAGACTGAACCCAATCGTTTATCAGAAATGTACTGTAATGTAGTCGAATGACGTCAAGTGTGTGTGTGTGTGTGGAGCTCCTCCACTGCGCCCGCAGTCTATCCCTGAATCCATCTGCTTTTCTTTTTTGCTTCAGAACAGATTGTTGGGACAGTGGCTTATGGGTAATTTTAGATAGTTGTTGGGGAAATGCTGCTGTTTGTGTAATACCTCTAAAACCTCCCCGACTCATTTGTAAAAGTAACGCGTCTAGAGCTCAGGTTTCATATTATACAATATGAACTAGACTGTAGACTCTGGTTTTTTTGCAGAGAGCTGAATACTCAAAAATGCCCAGTGCTGTAAACGTTTGCCTCCTACCACCAGGTGGCAACAAAAGTGCAGGGCATGTTTGGATGTATCAAGGCAGTTGTTGCTCATCAATAATGTCTCTCAATGCTTGTGTGTATGGACTTCACTTGGATTTGCAATTGCAGTGCATTAGGAGTTTTATTTTAGAAACTTTTTTTAATGTGTTATTTAATTTTATTATAGGAATGTTTTCCCCCCTATGTATTGTGACCAATTTTTTTTAGCGTTTGGTTAAAATTTTTAGTTTCTTAAGTTGATGTTTTTATGACCACTTTTGCTATTGTCTTGGTAGAAAAGCTTGCAAAATAGTGAAGGAATGAAGATCGGTGGGTTGATTTAGTCTTACTGACTGCCCAACAGAAAGTGGACATTTTAAGTAAATGGTGAATTTCTTTTAGTCGTAAGATAATAGATGTTAGACATTTTTTAAGATGAAACTCAAAATTTAAAATTCGTGTTAAAGACTTATTTTGAAAAAATGATTGAACAGTTGTTTTAAGATTGGTTATTACTTTCTCGTTATCTGTTTTTGTTGTTGTTTAAAGTTTTCCCCCCTATGTATTGTGACCAATTTTTTTTAGCGTTTGGTTAAAATTTTTAGTTTCTTAAGTTGATGTTTTTATGACCACTTTTGCTATTGTCTTGGTAGAAAAGCTTGCAAAATAGTGAAGGAATGAAGATCGGTGGGTTGATTTAGTCTTACTGACTGCCCAACAGAAGGTGGACATTTTAAGTAAATGGTGAATTTCTTTTAGTCGTAAGATAATAGATGTTAGACATTTTTTAAGATGAAACTCAAAATTTAAAATTCGTGTTAAAGACTTATTTTGAAAAAATGATTGAACAGTTGTTTTAAGATTGGTTATTACTTTCTCGTTATCTGTTTTTGTTGTTTAAAAAAAAAAATTGGTTTTGTTTTTGCATTTTAGAAGAAAAAAATGTTTTTGGATTTGTGTTCCCAACAAATACTTGAAGTTTTTAAGAAAAAAAAAAAGATGTGGGTTAGGGTAAAATAGACATTAAAGAGACAGACACTGGAATCCTTGTCTCTGCATCTTATTGGTTTGTCATCACAATTGCATTGCAGTTATTGAACAGGACAATGGAATTTCAATGGCAGAGATTTGAAGAGGTTTTGATGTTTTGCAACTATTGGGTGTTTAAAATCAGCATGAAATTAATTCTTCCTATTGTGAAAAACTGATCTATGCATGTTTCTTTTTTTTCTTTCTTTTTTTTTTTTTTTTAGTTCACTTCACTCCGTAATGTTTAATCAAAATGTCATATCTGGACCTGCCGGTGAAAACGGCAGACTGTTGCTTTTGCTGAACTGTCGCTATTTCCGTTTCATCATGAATTTAAAGTTATGTGATTTTTAAAAGTTTTCTTAAAAAACAAACATTTCTAATCTTGATTTTGGTTATTTTAGTAAAGGTACTCCATATTTACATTATCTATTAATGACTATAAATAAAAGTAGTTACATCTACAGCTATCATTCATAGATTATTTCTAATTATTCACATGACAATCTTAAATATACGAAATTGGTCACAAATGACTAGAAAGGCTTTGTGTTTCAGTCAGATTTGAAAAACCATATGTACATCAGAATCTGCACAAGGTTCATTTGATTGTAAGTACATGCTCAAGCTTTATTTTCTATGTTCTCAAGTCCCCAAACATAAATGGAACCTAGGATATTTTTTTATGACTGCATCTGCATAAAATTTCCATGTGCGTATTGCCTACCAGACACGAAACAGTAGCTGATACAGATTGCAGGAATCGCCTGCACTGATATAAGAGAGATTGTGCAGCTAAAATCATTTATTTATGGTCAGCTAAATATCTACAGTGGATCTAAAATATGAATAGTTAATTATAACTAGTTATGGTTAATTATTCATATTTCCCCATGAGCTGATTCGCTACAATATTTTATGGAAAAAAAAAATTTTTAGGCTCTAGGGGCCTGATGTATAAAGTAAAATCACACACTTACTGCACTCTTACTGGTGAGAACATAGCATTCATCTTTCCCTCTCATGTTTGACAATAGGAATATTGCATATTAAAAAAGCACAATATACTAACCGCTATTATGTAAAACATGATCTGACAATCATTTTTGCTGTTCAACAACATTCTGTCAGGTCAGGGACTAAAGCTTTTAGCAAAAGTTATGTATGCAATGGATTTACTGAAGTTATTAAATCATTTTGATTAAAGATTACGAGGGCATATGAATATAAACAACGCAACATTTCATTAAAAAAAAACAAGAACTGTCGATTTTCAATTCATGGTGAATTTAAAGGAGTCATATGATGTTGCTAAAAAGAACATTATTTTGTGTATTTGGTGTAATGAAATGTGTTTATGCGGTTTAAGGTAAAAAAAAAACATTATTTTCCACATACTGTACATTGTTGTTTCTCCTCTATGCCCCGCCTTTCTGAAACGCGTCGATTTTTACAAAGCTCATCGTTCTGAAAAGCGAGGTGCGCTCTGATTGGCCAGCTATCCAGTGCGTTGTGATTGGCCGAATACCTCAAGCGTGTGATGGAAATATTACGCCCCTACCATATTGTGATGCCGTGTCCCGGCGCAACGAGATAAAACCAATAAAACTCATTATAAACGAGGCATTTGTTGCATCCAGTGGGGACATAATTATGGATTATAATGACTTATACTGTCTTTTTAAGCATTGCGTTGCATCGCGCCACGTAAACATAAAACCATGTCTGCATTTGTGATCGGAGAAATGACAAACAACACTGTGAGTCAGAACAGCCGGCATTGTAGTCTACTCTACCAGGATCAGGAAACAGTCCTCCATAAAATGCACCGCACACATCTGAATATTTGGGTTGAACTGTTCTGGAACAGTGTTGTAAATACAACTTAACCACTGATTTCTAGTTGTGTCCTCTTTTGGAAGGCCAAACAAAGTAGTTTCACTTTCACAACGAAGCACACAGTAGAGTGAGCGGCGGCCTAGAGTGAGGAACGACCAGCGGGCTAAAGTGAGCGGAAGCCGGTGGGCTTGAGAACAGCGCGGCCGGCGGATTCGACGAAGGAGCGGCCGGTAGGCTTGCGGAAACCACATGTGACGACCCCGGGCTGGACTCCGCTTCATCCACGGTGAAAGCGGACTTTTATAAAGAATATCTCTTTGGATTTGAGACTTTAATCTTTGCAACTTTACAGATCTTCTTTATGCACCAAGAGCTTGTAACACTCCAAAGAGAAAGGAGAAATTTTAATCGCATCATATGACCCCTTTAAACTCACAGGCTATTCATATTACCTCCGTTTTATAAAAATCTGCAAACATACTTATTCTCTGCCCACGTGTATTGGCAAATAATACGTATTATTTGAGCAAAATATTTATCATTCTGTATGTTTAGTACGGACTATTGAGACAATGAAAGATGACAAAAAAAGATGTCGGACCATAAATGGTTAATGCGGTTTTGCGCTATCAGGTCACTTTGTTTTTACTCGCCATTGGTCAGATTTACTATCAATCACACCTTAAGCCAACCCCTTTAAACTCACAGGCTATTCATATTACCTCCGTTTTATAAAAATCTGCAAACATACTTATTCTCTGCCCACGTGTATTGGCAAATAATACGTATTATTTGAGCAAAATATTGATCATTCTGTATGTTTAGTACGGACTATTGAGACAATGAAAGATGACAAAAAAAGATGTCGGACCATAAATGGTTAATGCGGTTTTGCGCTATCAGGTCACTTTGTTTTTACTCGCCATTGGTCAGATTTACTATCAATCACACCTTAAACCTATCAATGAAGGGCAAATCTGTCGAGTCCTTCTCGTTTGGCCAATCAGCAGTTAGTTACTAAGAGTCGCGGTGCAGATTTAAAAGTAAAATTAATCTCGTCAACACATTTAGGACTGGGGCCAGTCGAAAAGACGTGTTTTCTGAACCGAGAGCTATGAACAGTAAGTTAAACTGGCTTTTCCCATTTCCGTGTAATATTTACTAATTTCTCCGGTGATATTAGTTAAAGGTTATTTGAAAAGACAACGAAGAACACGGCCGTATTCATCCGTTCAGCGAGGCTCTGAGTCATGTTAGCACAGCGCTAGCCTGAAAGCTAGCGTGACTCTTTTCCTCTACTTTGCATACAGGCGAATTAGAATAACGCCATTATTTAGATAACTCTCGGCATTTGGTTCAGGATTTGCACATGTTTTGTAGTCAAATGTGAGCCATTCCACCCTCCTTGCCTTCCCCGGTCCCCACTTGTTTTGTCTAATCCTAGCGAGGTGGTCAGAAAGGCAGAACCGGGGACCCAAGTGGTTGCCTGGATACCTGCTTCTCTCCCCATCCATCTGGTGCAGGGATCCGCTCTCCGCCACGGGTAGCCTACATTTTCATTTAAATAAGTAATTTGCAAGGCTAATGTTTGGCCGTATCTGACCACTGCAGCTTTTGATCTGCTGACTCAGCTTGAGTAAAGAGCTTTGTGAAGACCAGATGGACGCGGATCAGATCTCTTATATGTAGGGATCCACTCGCTTCCTGGATTGGTGGATGTGGACAGACAGCTCAGAGACGCACTTTGCAGTACTGCTATTGTTGGTCCTTGAACACCTTTCTTGTTGCTCTATTAACACGTGTATTTTCCCAGCAGGTCCGGGCAATCCAAAACCTGTGCAGCTTTATATGTAGGGATCCACTCGCTTCCTGGATTGGTGGATGTGGACAGACAGCTCAGAGACGCACTTTGCAGTACTGCTATTGTTGGTCCTTGAACACCTTTCTTGTTGCTCTATTAACACGTGTATTTTCCCAGCAGGTCCGGGCAATCCAAAACCCGTGCAGCTTTCTGGGATCAAGTGCTTGGTCAACATCATCAACATCATGTGGACCGTCTCACAGATGCTTCCTGGACCTTTTGATCCGATTTCTGGAAGACTGTGACCGGATTGTCCTTCCCCGCTCCTCAACTTTATAACGTAACCCTTTTTTTTGGCTTCTGCTCTTGTCCATTATGACCCTGTCCTCCTGCTGCTTTTCTCTAGCATCGTTTATGAATGTTTTAACCTGTTCAGATCCAGTGTATGTTCTAACGTACACCTTGTTTCTCCGGTGTTTGTATGTATTATACTGCAAAACTGCTTGACATGGTTTCAGTATACATCCTACAAAATTTTTATATCTTCACCAAAATGATTATTTTCAGACCATGCCTGACCAATGTTGCCGAATGAATAATACGTCTGTAACAGCAGTAGACATCTGACCAATGCTCATGTAATGACATTCAGCTTTGTGTCTGTTTGGTGATATGACATTGTAAGTGGCATAGTAATAAAAGGAAATACATGAGCAGGTCATTGTAAGGGTGCAGGTTTGAATATATAACCCTTGTTATTGGACCTTTGTTTAAGCTGTCAAATGTATTAACGGTTATGTTTTAGATTAATATTCTTCCAGCAATGAAATTCAAAATCAATGCATATATATTTATTTATTTATTTAGGTTACACTCAATTTAAAGGTGGCCTAATTATACAATTAAGCACTGATTAATTAACAATATGCACTTACTATTGCTATATATTTGTGTGTGTGTATATGTGTATATATATATATATAGCTTATTTTATATAATTGTATTAGTTTTTTTTAATAACAGTAAATTAATATGTATAATTTTGTAATTTATTATAACTTATGGCTCCTTTAATATCAATATTTTATCGCATTTTTGTATCTCTGGGTCTGAACAGGTTGCAGCGAAAGAGTAGCATGGCACGAATTGAGCACTGGCGTACAATGATCATATTGTGTTTGGGGGCGCATCCCCGTTTTTGCAATCGTTTTTTTTCCATCAACCATGTGGAGATGAAAGCGATTCATTACTGGCTGCCGTAAGCGCACACACAGCCAGCGGGCCTATCGCCTGCAAACTGTTAGCTAGAGGTCCCGACGATACTCCCTCCGCCTCGTGCGCTGCTGGACTGCTGGCGAGGACACAATAGGATGGATGCCGCTAGCCTGCTACGTTAGCTCTGAAGGTAGCGTTGTGAATACGCGAGCCGCTCGCGCTGCTCTGCTGTTGTTTACATGAACGGAGAAAATCAGAGCAGGGTCGGCGGAGGGTTTTATACTTCTAGCCTGCGCGAGATCACAGTCCGTTTGAAACCTAAGAGAATCACGTGTCGCGTCTGTGATGTGTTTTCGTAACAGAATTCTCTTGAATGATTTGCGTGCTGCGTGAGCAGATGCGTTCGTACAAGCTTCAGAATAATGAATAACTAACGCGCATTGGCTGTCACGTCTGTAATGCACTTCTTGGGTTTGTTGTGATGTGTGTTCAGATTTGGATGTCTGTGAAGTCTTTTTACGCAGCTTTTGTGATTGGCTTTATGCAGACATGTACTCAGTCCCTCTGTAGCAATAACAGGAGTAATACACTGTACCACAGAATGATGGCCTCCACTGTTCCCCCCCTTCTCTTTCTTTTTGGCATTGTCTGGCTCCCCTCCCTCTCCCTGCAGTAATCTTTCTAAATCTCTTGCTTTCTAATCC